GTTAACTTTTTCGGACTACTAGATGCGAAGGACTGTGACTCGGCTAGGTTAGTCTCATAAGGATCTGTAATTAAATCAGCAGCTTCGATCTTCTTCTCAGTATATGATTGGTCTGCAATCTGATTTTGGATAGGGCTCAAAGAATTAGCAGGAGACGCAGCCTTGCTGGGTGGTGTACCTGAACTAAAAACGCCATCGACATAGAATAGTTGGGAATACTAAAAATATCGAAATTTAAGAATATTAATAATATATATTTAAAAATGTTACTAATGACGCTAACTAACCTCTGACTCCGAAATCTTGCATGCATCCTCAAATATGTCATATATGCGCATATCTAGTTCTTCAAAGGGTTCACCTTGATTAAGAGGAATCTGTCCACTTACGAAAATATGATCTTTTAAAACTGAAAATCCGTTCAATTCAAAATCTTCCGCTAGTGGAACATCAAGAGGAATTCCTTGTTCATGAGGGAACAGACGCTCCAAAGAATTAAGAAATTCAGCAAACCGTTGCCAAAATCTAGTAATATTTGAGAACTCATTTTTGACGTTAGGGTCTTTGGCAATTAATGCAGATATTGAAGATATATGTTCAAGAGAGGAGTAAACCCATTTGGTTCCAACACGAAGAGATATCAAACTTCGTTTAACAGAAGCCGGGAGAATCTGAACTGCATTATGTCTCTGATCTGAGTATTCAACCGCAACATCTAGCAATTCAGAGTTACACATCTCCAACAAAGTAGAAAGTGAGTCCAAAGTTAATAATACTGCATATTTTTCTACGAGGGCTTTTTTCGAAGCTGTAGAGTACGAAATAGGTGCCTTTGGACTTTGACTAACATGGTTATTATCTCCTAATATGGTAATTAGAAGAAAAGATTAAAATTATAACTCATAAAATAGAGATTAAGTAATCCACCACATACCATTTGCAATATGTCGAATAACGAATGAAGCTGCCATATTGATTGCCGTAAATTTCAGGAGTTGATCAGGATCCAATACGAGCGAAAGAATGCTTTCTCTCAATTGATTTAGCACAGATGCTTTCAACTCGGAATATGATTCCAAACTATAAAGTAGTTTAAATAATATTAATTTTAACAAATAACTAACATGTTACTAAATTTGATTGACATTTTATGAAATGTAATATATATACTCTGTTTTGAAGTACAAAATGCTGTGCAAACGAATAAAATCAGCAAAAAAAGCCTGCGTAGCTTCACCGGTTCGAATTTTCGCTGATTGTGTCGCAGACGATACTTGACGCTGATGAGAAAACCGTCTTCTACCATTTTCTTTCTGGTCTTTTCTAGGAGTCTCTTGTTCTTTCTCTTGAGCATCAACTGAAGATTTTCTAGCCTTATGAAACAAAAGGCTAATGTTGTCCTTGGCTGTCAAAAAAGGACACCTGACAACAAGACTCCGATAATAATGATAAACAGCAGAAAATTCATCGGCGCTGTAGGTTGCAATTACGGCTAATTGATTATGTGGATTACCTAATAGGTTAATAAAAATCGAAATGATGATCAATAAGTTTGTCTATAACACTGTCATCGTTGTTAAATACTAACCACTTTCAGGAACTAGATGCCTTGCATGATTATAGTAGTCACACGCAGTAGACCAATTTTTACGCGGTTTCTCCGTTTGCAACTCCCGATAACGTGCTATGTTATAATAAAAATATCGTATCAAGATTTATCAAGATTAATGAATATAAGCAAGATTACATACCCAAATCACCAAGAAATATAAGACTTTTATGACAACTAAGCACAGCTTTCTGCTTAATATCATCAGAACAGGAATTATGGGAAACATTTGTATGCTCTATTTACAAAAAGGGAAAAACAAGATAATAAAGTAAATGAATTTTTAACTTCATAAATTCCCACTAAGACAATATGCTGAATCAAATGATACCTATAGCCAGCCCAAACTTTTGGATAATAGGATCTAGTTGCTTCAACTCGAAATGAACAGCAAGTCTTTGAATATAAGAATAATAAAATCCTGTCGCTTCTTGCAAGAACGAGCGAAACGAACTTGTCAACTTGCGGTGAATTCCCTTAGATTTTCCATTAGAGGTAACAGCCTAGTATAGAATAAATAAACATCAAGGTCTGAATGTCAATAAAATCCCACATCAATATTAACATCATATTCACCGTAACGTATACTTACAGTTCGAATCCTCTTCCTGAATTCTTCAATAAATTTATAATATACATATTTCCACAGATTCTGTTCGACTTCTTTCGATTGCGCAAATTCATAGTCAAGGAAAATAATTCTCTCATAGTGTTCCCGTAATCTAAAAAATAAATTGCAATTATTTAATAAAGGTAATAAAGATTATCTAACATTGATATATAAAAATTTTCGTTTCTATTCACTTGGAGCGCACAGTTGCAACTTGTCTATCAAAGGGTGGCTTTTGTTTTGAAAGTTGACGGAGTTCAGCTTCCAATTCCACCGAAGATCTAACGAATCATTTAGTATTCGTAAATAAATACATGACACAAATTTTGTTAAGAATATTATAAAGGAAAAAGAAAAGAAGGGATTTGTAGTTTCAGAAACTAGATTCTGCTATAAAAATTAAACAATTTGAAAAGGTAATTAGAGTTGCATACTTATACAGATCCAGTGCAGTTTGGCGATCCGAAGAAGGCATCGTCAATCAAATTGGAAAATTAAAGAAAAATAATCAGATGTCACAAGCGTGAAATTCATACGAAGCAAAGTTTATGTATAAGCCTCGTTTTGCCACAGTAATAACACTACAAATATATTACTAATATTTGCTTTACTAACTCTATTTGATATGAAGCCAAGTCAATATAAAGTTTTTTTTTTTCACTTTATCTGAAGAAAAGTCGTACAATATTAAAATATCAAGGCTCATCTTTATATACCTTGAAGACCGTCTTTCGTTGGCTCAGCAATTATGTAACACAAGATATCTGATATGATTTCAAGTAATGATTGAATTTTATGTCATGTCATGTTGATGACCTTTACAAATTGATCTTTTACAATGTAACGGTAAAATTCAACCTCTAAATATGGTCTGTAATATATAAAAAAGCATTTTTGTATTTTGAAGCTTTTACATTTGAGCTTTGGGAGCCATCTCTGCTGTCTAGTTCTATTTTTAGATTCAAATAATAAAATACTATTGGTCCATTCTCATAACAATATCACGTGAAATATACTTTATAATCTGGCAGGCTGAGTCTGGGAGTGTAACATTTATTTGCAATCCCTAATATGGGTTTGAAAGTAGCAATTTCGGGCCGCGCTATAAATGCATGTTTGAAATCCGAATTTAAATTCCCTCTTTCGAAGCGACTTAAATATTTTTGACAATAAAAATGGGGCATCATCGTCCAGTTCCTTTAACTCCCACTGCGGCAATAACTGCTAAGATTTTGGATGCTCGTGCTGATTTTCGTAAAACATTTGAAGACAGTCTTGGCGGTAAGCGCATATGCCTTTAGTTCACCTATCAATTTACTGAATCTAGAAAGTTCGTTTACTCAGACTGTTTGATTCTTTATATTAGTGGAAATTTCTGACAATCTAGAGAAGGGTGTTTACTTTTTAGCTCCCGATAACATCGCCGCAGAAGATTCATTATATAAAAAAATTCAATCTGTATTAAAAGACGTTGTTGATTCCGATCCTGAACTCGCTGAAAAAATCAGAACCGGAAAGGATGAATTGGAAACCTTAGAAACACACGCGAAGGCATGATATTTTTTATTATTTTATTGAAAAACGAAAAAGATAATTGAAAGTTGATCAGAGGGTTTTAGTGTTATAAAATGGTTTACAGCTACATTTACAACATGTAATTAATTAATTGCAATAATTATAGGTTAGAGCCCTTCTTCCACCTCCTATAGAATACGCATATACTGAAAATGCTCAAGAATCAACATCTTGAAACCAAGACATTATTTCAGATTGCAAAGGGTTAAATAATAACTTATATAAATTTATCAGGTTTGAATTCGAAAAACATTTTATCTTATACTATTTTTGATAAAAGAAAGGTTGGTTTTATTTATCTTTAAAAAAGGTGTTGGTATTAAATACTGTATTTACAATAGTTAGAATTATTATATTTACAAGTTCACTACAAATATAAAAAGATTAATTGATAAATTAGTTAATATATACGTTAGTTGTTTTTTGCAACAATAAAACATTATTTTAAATGATAGTATTCTGAGTAGGGATGGTAATTATATGATATATACCGTATAATAAAAATTGGTATAACAGATATCGGTATAATTGGTACGTATTGGTATAATATTTTTGTGTAACGAAATTAACCAATAGGTTAACTGGTTATTATACCAAACTTATTAATTCTGAGCCTTTCAACCTTGTTATACGTAGCAATTTCAACTTATTTAAACAAAAAAATAGAACAAAATTATTTGTCACGTACGTGATAGTGGCTTATATATTACTATACTCATATTTGTCAGAATATATTTTAAAGATAACAAAAAATCGACTAAGCTATTAAACTAAAACTTATTTTATTTTAATACTTATGAATAATTATACTAATATTTATTTTAATTTTAATCTTTAATAAAAAATATTTTGAAAAATTCTGATTTTAATTTTTTTAAAAAAAATCTAAACTAAACTATTTATTTAAAACCTATTTTGACTTTAATTTTTTTTTTTTTTTTTTATTTTTTCAACAAAGCTATTTGCTAATTAATTTTTATTAGATTATTTATAAGTTTATATTGGTTAGTATAAGTACAATTGGTCATATGTATAATTTTAATTATTGTTTATTTAAAGATTCTGTTATTAAGGTTACATATCAAATACTATATCAGTCATACGATTTGTCACATTTTTTTGAGTAGTAAAATTTTGTTTAATTAAGAACAAGTTTACTTAAAAAATAAAAATAGATTGTCTTAGTAAAAAAAAAGGTTTTATATAGAAAAACTATAAATTTTATAGTTATTATATAGTAAATTTATTTTTTTACTAAGATAATCTATTTTTGTTTTCTAGATAAAGTTGTTTATAGGTCTGGTGACCTAGTATAGTAGTTAGATTGTTGGACTGCCATGCAATAGATCTGGAGTTCAAATCTTATTATCGATGAATTTGAATAATATCTAGATTTATATATCAAACTTATGGAAAACTCTGTCTATTCCCGAAAAAGGAGTTCTAGAGAATGTGACAAAATCTTGTAAAAAATAGTATTGCATCAAGTTATTTGGACATTAGGAGTGTAACAGTAACATTACATGAATAAATCTGCATTAGATATATAAGCAGTGGATCTGCATAGTAAAAATCCTAAGTTGGTAAAATAGTATGACCTTCAATAGTCATATCAGCTAATGCTTGATTTGAAAAAAAATTGTTTCAAAAGATATAGATCAAAATAAGTATGAGTAAGTCTGTATCTATAGTAAAGATCAGTAGCATCAACTTGGTTTAGTAGCTAACTAGATTTGGAAGGATCTATTTTATGAAACATTTAAAAAAATCGATTAATACAAAACTAGTAGAAAGTTATAGTAGAACTTAGGGTTATATGAATATCTACAAAGATCTAAGCTAGGTGAGTTTATGAAATAGACATAAGTTGCTTTAATAGATTTGCTTCGAGATTAACTGGAGCTTTACAACATTCACAATATGTTGAGTATAAGCATCCTGAGATGACCTAAGCTGAAGTCAATAAATAGATCTGTAATGAACTAGCTGATTTAAGTGATTAGATATTATAGTGATATTAGTTTGTAATAGTATAGGTTAGTTGAACAGAGTATTTAAATAGATAACTCATAGGTGAGTTACAGGTATGGCAGTATAGTATAATACTAATAGATAGTCTAATGTCTACATAGCAGACTATTTAAATTAGATAATAATTAAAGTTGTATATGTAGCTTATTGTATACTTTTAATATAATTACAAACTGTATAGGAACCCTATGTAGAACCTCATATATCAAACTAATAAAATTCACTTAGCAATATAAGCTATCTTAAAAATAAAAAAAATAAAAAAAAAAGATAAAGTTGTTCAAAATAAAATTTTATATATAATTATCCCTTAATTTGTAACACCTGCAAATTTGCCTGCTTCTACTTTTAATTTTTGTAATTATTTAACTAAAACTTTAA